TATATATATATTGGTAGACTTACCAATTAAATTATTATTAATCTTTGCAAGTTGAAAGATTGTCTGCTACCCATTTCATTAAGATCAATGTGTCTTATCATCCTATTGGGATTTAGTTTGTATTTCAGTTCTCAATAAATCTATTTTTAAAGTCTTACCAATGTATCTCCAGAAATATCCTCTTATAATTGCCTGTATAATTATTCTCAACAAATCTTCCTTTGATGTTTACTTATATGACTAATCTTGTGCAATTGACATCTCGAATGTCTTGATGTCTAGAATTCCTGTGCATATCTATTACAAGGTGTACAGAAATTATAAAGCACGCATTAAAGGCCAAAGTCTCCAAACTCTTATTTTTAATAAATATATATTACTTGGATAAAAATTTAAAGCATAGAATTTAATACAACTATCACTTCAATATTTTTTTATTCAAAAAAATCATAATGTTTAAAACCATGGAAATCCTACAAAAACTATAAACTTATATAAATCTAGATGGTTTCTGCCTTGAACAAATCCAATAATATATGCAAATTACTGGCAAGATTTATAAGAAACAAACAAAATACTAGGAAAGACATGCATGGATGTTAAAGAAAATACTTTAACGTCTTAGCTTTAAATGATAATCAAGCTTACATACAAATAAGAAAATGTTGCAAGTGATGTAAGACTTTTCAAGTAGAAAATTCTGATAGAGCTAAATTATTGGGCTTAGCCTAGTTGAAATGATTCCATTATGAGTACAATGACGCCCTTCCTCTTAATTAGAAATATGTTAATACAGTATACCGTGCATAAATTATAAAGGATAAACTACATGATGGAAGTTGGAAGAATGTTAAATCATTGGAGTTGTCTTCTGGAGATCATTGTGATTTGTTTGGCTCCTAAGGCCAGGTTGTAGGAAGTCCACTATCAATATTAGTTTCAATGCCCCAAGTTAGAATTAATGTTGTTGACATTCATTGACCTTATTGGTGATGATAATCAGCAAAACTGACGATTGTTGATATTAATTTTGGTAGTGTGCATTAGTTATGTCGATGACATGCCTTATGCTTATTGATGAAGAAGTAACATGGTGTTGTTGGCAATAACAAGCAACTAAATTGGTAGTTGTTTCTATTAATTTCGATGACATGCAACTATCTTACAAGTGATGGCATATGTTAAAATGTGCATTAGATTTATAGGTGATGCTATGTGTTAATGGCATGCATTGATCTTATAGGTGATGATAGCTGATGAATTTGGTCAGCTTCCATATAGTCAGATGACAGTGGTTACAAACTATAGGCAAGCGATAATTATCAAGAAATTATCGATTGTCAGGTTATTGTAGTTAATAGATGATGGTCATGATATTATAATCGGGTGATGATTGTTATAAAATTATAATTAGGGGACGATGGCCAGACGATAATAGTTTGGAATAGTGGTCGAATGATCATACTCAAGTGATGGTGATTGGGCAACAATGGTCAGATGATGTTGGTTGCGACGGTGTGACACTTATGGTTTAGCAGCTATGGTTCAATGATAGTTGTCAAGTGATGCCAGTGATCGACTTGTGTAATTATGATGATGGTGATTTGGCAATAGCTTTTTAACAGGGAGGGTTGGCAACAACAATCAAATGATAGAGGTTGGGCAAAAACACTTCAATAGTGAAAGTCGGTAGCCATAGTCCTATGGTGGTCAAACGGTGAGTTTGATGGTGGCGTTTTGATAGCGGCGATTTGATGGTGACATTGATCTAATAATAAAAATTTTTTGGTGACATTTCAATAGTGATTATTAGGTGATAACAATCTGATGAGCATGGTCGATCCATGATCTAACAATGATGCTCAAGCAGAGCCTTTGAATTTTTCAAAAATTTAAGCTCTCTTTAAAAGTCTTTTTCTTCTTTAATAGAGTATAAGTTTATTTATAATCTTTAGGATTGACATTTTCTATAACTGTAGTTAAAATTTAAAATACTTTATCAGAAGGCTAGAAATGATCCCCTTGATCATAAAGTATTTTTAGAGCACTTAAGTGCCTTAAGGAGTCAAAATTTGGTAATTATTAGCCCGTAAAATTTGTTTTATTTTACTTGATTGTAAGAATATAAGATCTAAAGATCATTTGGTAGATCAATTAATATTCTGAAATTTGTAACTATGTTTGAAGTGCTTGATTTGGGCTCATTAAAGATTGATCAGGTTCTTTAGAGTATTGATGGTTTTATTTCATTGAGATGCTTAGTGTGACTATAAGTTTGTTGAAATTAGAGTTTAAATGATTCTAAATTTAATTTTTAAATTTCAAAAAAATTTTATCTCGATTGATGCTTGATTAAATGAATTTTTTAGCAGCATCAGTTGCCCTTTAATTTTAAATGTTTAAATCTTTTTAACATTTTTATGACATAGAATTAGAATTTGTAATTTTACAAAGCACGATCACTCTCTAGGCTTCAACTTTGATTTTCTTTTTATGAAAAATTTGTTTGTCAATTCAAGTGAAAATTGCCAAGGAAATTTGGTTTAAACATTATTAAAATTGTATGAAATTAATTGTATATTCTTTGTTGGCTTTGAAAGTAACTAAGTTGATTTGAAAACAACAAAAAAATACTTTAGAGACCCCCCAATATTGTCAAAAATATTTTATTTGAGCTCAAAACTAGACTTTGACGTGTGGATAAACTCTTAGGCAATCAATTGGCTATTGCTAGTGGGGACAATTATGCGCTCGTCCACGCATGCATAGCGATGCAGCACCTAACTATAACAATGCATGATTTTTTTTTTTGTAATACTTTTTTCTTTTTCTTTTCTTAATTCTTCTCAGAAAAGGAAAACTAAAAATTGCTAATATAAATTTTAAAATTTATAAGAAATTTTCAAATACATTTTTTAGAGATTCTCTCCTATCTCAGTTCTATAAATACCCCTATTAGGGCTAGGAGAGAGAGACACAACTCTCTTATGCAGGCTTCAATTTTTCTTCATAAAGGGGAAACTACCATTTGACTGGGGTTTAAATTGTTGGAGGAAAAAGGTTTGTAGTTTTCTGCGATAAGGCTATAACCTTCTTTTGATAAAGGTGTTGATAGTCCTTAGCAGAGAAAGGTTATTTTTTATGCTCTATTTTGAGGTTCCAATTTTTCTTTTTACTATCATTATTCTCAAAATTGGCAAAAAGAAATGCATAGAGGATAATACTGCTAATAATATCAATAAAGTAATACAAACTCGATGATGAAAATTTGTTTCTCCAAAAACATAATAAATTTATTCAATATGTTAAGTTTGTAATTTTTGAGCAATTCTATGCTTATTTTTATACTTCTTAACATTGTGGGTTGATTTTTTTGCTTGAAGATTGAACACATAATTTTTTTTTTCAAAAATTTTTGTTTCAAAATTTTGCCACTTAGATTTTTAGATGTAATGATAAAAAAAATTATGATATCTCTGTCTCAGATGATTTTTTTGCAATCTCACATTTTTTCAAAGGATTTTTAAATTTTTTGTAGGTAAATAATATCATCATGATCTACCTTTGATTACCTTTGATTTTTTTTTTTTTATTTCAAAATACAATATTTTGGTATGGTAGAAAATTTTTTAGCAACAAATTTTAAAAATCTATCACTTTACTGATGACAAACTTTAGGAATTTTTTGAGACTTGCAACTTTGTCTAAATTAGTTCAATTTTTTTGTAGAAGCTCCTATTTATGCATAAATACTTCATAAGAAATTATAAATTTTCTCAGTAATTTTGCCAACAAAAATATTTGAGTGGTCATTGCTTAGCAATTTTTGCACTGCGATATGATAGAAGAAAAATTTTTTGAATCATCAAATTAATTTTTCGATGAGCTTGATGTCGTGGAAAATAAAATTTAATGATTTATGTCCCTCCATAGTTTTCTATTAAATATAGTTATGATCTGACATAGAATTGTGTATATTTTAGGTATTGTCAAGGACAAAGCTGCATGCTTGATTGAATATGTCACTCGGAGAATGCAAATATCGTGTTGAAATACATTGAAACTAGAGAAGGGATGACTTTGATGATTCATCAAAAAAATAGTTAGCTCAAATTGATGCCTATGCATATTTGCCACAATATTAAGAGGCCGATTTTATCAAAATAGAAGTGAAATTTGAAGTTAAAGTTACATTTTCGTTGGTCGTAGAGATCCTCAAGATGAAGAGATCAATTTCCTAGATGCTGAAGTTAGATTGAAATTTGAAGGTTGTAGAAGACCTTGAGATATCTCTAAATATTTTATGTAATTGAAGTGGAAGACCTAAAACATGATTATAATAGAAGGTGATTTTTTTCTTCTTAATTCCTTGCTGGAGATTAGATTGGTGCATTAGTTTATGTTAAAACCATTCACCCAACCAAGCTTCAGCTGATACTTTATAGAGTATTGAAGATGATGTGAAAAGTGTGACGTCCAATTGATTTATGTTGAATACACTACCATATTATGTTCAGTCATGCATTTCTCTTACATATGTATTTCTCTATCATGTTCTCTCTCTAGAACTAAGATCTACTCTTAGGGTTTTCTTAGTAGCTCTCTTAGAAAACTATTGAAGGAATCGGTACCAAGCTAATATTTCCAACCAAATCTTCACTTCTTATATTTTAATATACTTTGCCTCACACCCTTAAATTTTGATTGAGATGATTAAAGTCAAGTTATTAAGCGTTAGTGAAGTTCCTATAGACTTGAAATATCATAAATTCTCCTTTCATCCTATAAACTTAGGTTTTTTGCTGGTCTCTCTCATTTGACACTTTGCACCTCTCTCTTTGGACACTATGCACCTCTCTCTCACCTGATGCCTTAGGTGACTCTTTTCTTGATTTATATCGTTACAATCGTCACAGGAGCACCGTCTAAAATTGTACCATATAAG